ACCTCTCAGCAAAGGGAAAACCTGCATGCCACTAATTCTGCAAAATCTCTCTTCACACTTGGCAGGTGTTTAAGAAAGCATCTTAAGACATTATAATGGGAGAAGAAAAAAATACTTTTTCCACAAACAAGCAAATGTGCTCACAAAGGTTGGTTCCAGTTTGCTGCTGTGCTGATTTTGACCTAGACTGACCAGAAGAGAAATGAACTGCTACATCTTCTTTGATGCCAAATAGGATCTATGTGTCTTGTTAAGAATCCATCTAACCTGCTCCAACCAACATCATTCACAAACAGCTGTTTGCTTTGCCACAGCATTTGCTATATGAAATGTTTTCTGTTATGTAGCATCTGTAAGAAATCACTAATTGTCATCGTTTGCGCAGTGAACAATAACATAAGGCACAAAACCCACAGTGATCTCAAACCTATTGGCAAATGACTGTTAGTAATCAGTCGGATTTGGCAGCTGAGCACAGTACACGTTTACATTTTAATACTGCCTGCTAGTTTAGAGGAAGTCATCTGTGTGCATCAAGCCCAATCCCCCCTTTTCTACCATATAGTTTTAGTGTACTGCACTTACAGCTGAAGGATTTCTAAGCCTATGGAGGCCTTGCATCTAGAGTATTTTAAAAGCAATTTAAAATTTCATGTTCATAAACAATCTCTCTACTATGGTAGTGTCAGGTGATTAATGCATGGCCTGTAAAGTAGTTTTATGCAGCACACAAGAGTTCTTGGGGATCCTAGCAACAAGGGCGCTTGGTAGAAGGTGTCCATTATATTCAGTGACCTAATGTTTATCGCACTCGGCAAGCGACACTTGTGGCTACTTCATTTAGCTGCTTTATGATACTGAACTAGTGAACCACACAGAGCCTTATTCACAAGGCAGCGGCACCACCACTTACATTATAAAGGCTGCTGCACTGCCGAGCCCACAGCATACACACAAAATGCTCTCAGTAAAAAGCAAGGCCACCCCCTTGTTGGGACTCCTGCAATCGCTCCCATGCAGAGCTAACAGACAGCAGGGAGCTCGGTAAAGCCCCCAAGGCCATAGTTAGCTGCTGTTATGAGTGTAATTCAAAAAACACAGTGCTATGTGGAAGAAAGCAAAATCCAGAGAAGCAAGGTCACCACTATGGGATGATCCTTCTCAGATACACAGGACCTCTGAACCCATGAATTTCAGTGCTGAAGTCTGTACCCAGCAGGTGAAAACRTCAGGAGGTGTCAGAGAAGGACAGCAGCCACCAGGCAGAGCAGGGCTGGGCTGGCAGGGCACCCTGCTCAGCTGCAGCTCCACACTGAATGAACACAGGACCTGCAGCTGAAGGAACAAATGGACAGGAGCAAATTTCCAACAAGGAAAAAGTTCTCCTAGAAGCCCACGGTATATCAGAGACTTCCAAATACTGCATCACACGATTGAAGAGAAAGAACTGAGACTCTGTCTTTCCTTACAGCTCTTGCTCATAATTCACCAGTGGCATCTCTTGAGGCTTCAGTCAGAGAGTCCCTAATCAAGTCCTGGTTCCCCAGCAGATATGTATAAATTCAGAGTACTGCACTGCAGCAGGCWGTGCTGGCATGAATTCCCGTCCATCATCCTCTAATCCACTCCCAACACTGTGATCAATCTTTTTAAAATTCAAATGATCTTAACTAGATTTGTACCTAGAAAAAGCACAGCAAGAAATAGACAATTAAAGAGCACGGATCTGTCCTGCAGTTATAGCTGCACATACATTAGAGGTTTTTTTAAGTAGAGGTTGTTTTTATCTCTCTTGCCATACTCCTTACCTGGACTACAATATTCATGCCAGAAACTGGAYAAAAAACATTAAAAGAGGGTCCTGACATAAATGCTTTTCCCTCCTCTCTCATACCGGCCCACAAGAGCTCTCCAGACTGGACTCGGTGTCCAGGGGGAATCAYCATGATGGAACAGGCAGCCAGAGGCTCACAGCCCTCCCGCACACATCTCGCTTCCCAGAGCATCCSACATCGTCCCAGGAATAACTTATTGCTGGCTAGGAAATAAGTGAAGGACTGAACAAGACTTATCCACAGCTGCTCTTTGATCTGCCTCTACAGTCTACAGCAGGACTAATACTCTCATGCTAAGATACTGTCAAGCTAGCAGCTTTCTGCTGCACCCCACTATGTATCTGTTATCACCAAGTAAATGATTCTACAATATTTCATATCAACCCACCAGCAAAAGCCCTAATGTGATTCAGGAAAGGCTTTTCCTGTAGAAGATACTGTACCCCTTGCAGAACAATTGGATAGAGTTTGCATGTACTTCATCAGACCAATCTTCTAATCCGGCTCACCAGGCAAAGCTTGTTGGCATTAGAGGAACAACTTGCACTTCCATACACACCGTTAATACTCTGGCTAGGAACCCTGAGAAGGGAGGGAAGGAGGCACAGAGAAAGGAACTGCTTGTAAATCTTGTAATTTGTAAATCTTGTAAGAGAAGAGGGAYGTCTTTTACAAGCAGAGAAAGGAACTGTTTGTAAATCTGCTCATTTAGGCAAAAGGAAAAGGAGATTTTGAACCAAAGAACCATTTTTGCCCAGAATGGGCAGCAGTGTGGAGGACACATAGCTGCAGGCGCACCTGGGGTGATGYAGATTCATGCCCTCTACCAAAGCTCCCCAGAACTAGGGCCAAAGTTTCTAGCAGGGCCYGACCTCCCTGCACATTCCCCTCTGCACCCTCACCCCAGCTGCTGGTGCTAGAGAGAATGAAACGCAAGGAAGGCAGAGAGGAGGTGAGTGCCATGCACCACATCCAACACGTGACAAGCCAAACTGCTCAGCCGGGCTGCCCAAAAGCAACAGCAGCCGCACAGTTGGGTTAAATGCTCCAACCCAAGATTTCCTTGGGAAAACACCACCGACCAAACTCCTCGGGCTCATCAGCAGCCACAACAGAGGCGTTTCATAAGCAAGTGAGAAATGACACAGCACTTCCCAGCCTATCACCTCCAGGTCCCCTCTAAACAACTGCAATCAGTTCAGCTGCACTCATGTTAACAGAGGGCAGAAAAAGGAAAATTTCTCTAAAGGTGACTTGAGATAAGACTGTTGGAAAGAATATAGCTGTATATATATAGCAAGTTGACTGTCATGTTCAGTTTCTGTTTCTTCCAAGATACAAAATTAATAAATCCAGTTAATACAAGAATAGGTGACACTTATGAGGGCTATTACTCAAGACCAGTCATTCTGTGGCTGTTCATTTCCCTGACAGCAGAAATTCTTCTCCCAGAAAGCAGCCTTGAAAGACATTTATGAACAAGGAGATTTTCTCCAGGACTGAGTAAAACAGTTAAATAATACACATCTGCAATGGTAGGGTGTATGTCCTAGGTCATCGTTACTTTAATGTCAGTAACTTTCTCTAATTTAAAGGAATCCTTACAATTACTGTTGATCCAAAGCTGGCAGAAATGTTTGAAGCCCTGGATGCACAGAAGGCAATTTATAGAACACTTTWAAAAAAAAGTCAAATGCAAATATTTAGCAGTCTGTTATACAGTAAACTTGGCTCTCTRATTTAATGGCTATTTCAGGTATTCTAGTCAACCAATTTAAACTGCTAATGGGAACAAGCTAGTCTGTCCTATTCCAGCCATATTTCTACTAGCAGTAGGATTTATCCCCCCCAAGTTTAGGCCACAGTGGAAGTTATAGAGCAGGTTTGGCTGCACCTTGGCCCTCCAGAAAGGCTCTGGAGGACTTCCAGGCTGTTCCTCACCTTGTGGGGAACACGGGGTGCCAGGGAGGGGCTCAGAGTCCTTAGGCAGCATCCTTTGGAGCCCTGCTTCAACCAGCCTCTAACACATATCCTTCAGCTGAATCACAACTTCAGAAGACCGAAATATAAAGAACAGCCATTTACCATGTTATTTAAGTATGATGCAACACTTTTAGGCCTAGATTAAGGTCTGTATCCATGCCCAGAGTTGCAAGCAGAAGTTTTCAGGAAATCCAGGGATGTTTACAGCTTTGTTGAGTCAAAACATCCATCATGTCTATTTTGACAAGCCTCCTGTCCCTCACTAATTGCCAGCACCGCTCCAGAGGAGCGGCCCCTTGCAGCTGCAGAAGGACTTGCTTCTGAAGAGCAGCCCTGCATCAGCAAGCAGTTCTTCATGGAGCAGCTGGTTCCAGGGGTAGGAACAGAGACAGTTCTCCAGGGTGTGTAAAGAAGAGGACAGGTCAAACAGGCAGGACTAATGACAGGAGCCTCTTTCAGGGCAATCTGAAAACTCCACAGCRTGCGGAGAAGTATATCCAGCTCGCAGTCAGAGCCGGGAACATGGGCTCCCCAGGAAGTCTGGATGGGATCCCACTTAGTAAAGAGACAATTACCTCATCCAGGCCACTTTGATTTCAGCTCTTTTTAGCTGGAGTTCAAATTTAAAACACGTAGGCACCATAAGCTGGGACGAGGAACAAAATGTCTCTCTCGAAAATCCATCCCACTCTTCTCACTTATTTGTCATCAAGGCAGAAAAGTGAAAAAAAAAGGAAAARGGAAAATAAGGAGGTGAGAATGTGGGAGGTAGTCAGTTTTCCCCTTAAATATATATTTTCATATTAAAAATATACATGGCACATGAAAGTAAGGTAATTTCCCATCAAATCTGGCTCTTCCTGTAAATCTGCTGCAAGAAGATGGCAAAGGGCTGCCAGAAACCATGTAGCCCCTTATGTTCAGATCTGAGGACTTAACTTGCCCATTCCTGGTGCGCTGGGGCCCTGGGTGACAGCACGTGCCCTAGTTAGGAGCAGGGCCCGTGCTCCTCTCAGCACAAGAGAGTCTCTAAGGGCCCCAGCTTCAGCGGTTCCCTTTCGGCTGCTCGTACTCTGTTAGAGGAAATCATGTTGCCAAGTGCCTGCCAAGGAGCTGCTGCTCTGAACAAACGCTCCAAGCTCATGTTATGTCTTAATGACCCGTGTGTTTCTGTCTCCACAGCAAACATCTTGACAGTCATCATCCTTTCCCAGCTTGTTGCTCGCAGGCAGAAGTCCTCCTATAACTACCTTCTAGCTCTAGCTGCTGCTGACATCCTGGTTCTRTTCTTCATTGTTTTTGTTGACTTTCTCATGGAAGACTTTATCTTAAACAAACAGATGCCTCAGGTACTGGACAAAATAATCGAGGTCTTGGAGTTTTCTTCCATCCACACCTCCATTTGGATTACTGTCCCACTAACAATTGACAGGTACATAGCCGTGTGCCATCCGCTGCGCTATCACACAGTCTCCTACCCTGCTCGTACTCGAAAAGTCATCGTAAGTGTCTACATCACCTGCTTTTTGACCAGCATTCCCTATTACTGGTGGCCCAACATTTGGATTGAAGACTACATAAGCACATCAATGCATCATGTCCTCATCTGGATCCACTGCTTTACTGTTTACTTGGTGCCCTGCTCCATCTTCTTCATTCTGAATTCCATCATCGTGTACAAGCTGCGGCGGAAGAGCAACTTCCGCCTCAGAGGGTACTCCACAGGGAAAACAACAGCCATCCTGTTTACTATAACTTCTATTTTTGCCATACTTTGGGCACCAAGAATAATCATGATACTGTATCACCTCTACGTGTCGCCTATACACAACAGCTGGGTGGTGCACATCGCGTCGGACATTGCCAATATGCTCGCGCTGCTCAACACTGCAATTAATTTCTTCCTCTACTGTTTTATTAGCAAAAGATTTCGCACAATGGCAGCTGCCACACTGAAGGCCTTCTTTAAGTGTCAAAAGCAACCTGTGCAATTCTATACAAACCATAACTTTTCAATAACAAGCAGCCCTTGGATTTCCCCTGCCAATTCACATTGCATCAAAATGCTTGTTTACCAGTATGATAAGAATGGAAAGCCTATAAAAATATCACCATGAAAAGGACAACTGGTGCAGTTTCTGGGTGCAATTACTTTTCAAGTGGTTACATCTTCAGGATGTAATTTGCTGAAATGGCTCATTTAAAGAGTGGTCATTTGATTTAATTTCCCTAGGAGGCTGAGGAAAGATGAGACTGAGAAGGGAATAGGAGCACTTGATTTAGAAGCGACAGTGAGAAGGCAGATGCCTCCATCTCCTACATGGCATTTTGAATGTGCTTTGGAGTTCAAGTCCCAGTGTTCAGTCAGTCACACTCAGATGTTTTGGATTCAAGCACCAGTGCAGTCCAGAGTCACTAGAGGAGGGAAGCTACAACAGTGTTTAATTAGAACCATGTAAAAGAAAAAACTAAAAAAAAAAGTTTTACTTGACCATGTAGTTCATTACTGACAGCAAACGGATGCTTTTATGTACTGTGGAAGGTGCCATTCCTCAGTGTGCACTTGCTGAAAATGATGTTGTTTCTGACATTAACTATTGCCACACACAGACTGCTGTCAAGAGCTTTTTGCAACAGGCAGTCTAAGACACTGGAACTGTGACAAGACCTTTTTGGCTCATTTGAGCAAGGCTCAAGGACTGATATTTTACCTGTTATAGCCTTGGCATGGAAAGCAATCTCACAAGCTGCCAAAATTTGTGTGTTTTAAGTTGTTAGTTATCTAAGACTGAGACCAAGGCAGAGCAGCTTGAGGGAAGGAAGGAGGTTTCTAGAGCCAAGAACAAAAGCAACATATTTTCCCAGCTATTTCAATTATGGTGTCTAAAGACTTTCAAGTGCGAGGCCAAATCCTGCCTGATACAAAGCTCCCACTGAACCCAGTCCGGCAAGGTTTGGAGTGATTACAGCCTTCAGATCCCTTCTTAATCAACAGAGATACTCAGTCATGCCACATGGTCCTGCCCTTAGGAATATATATATATATATTTATATAAAAACTGTACCTAAGATTTTCTCTGGACAGATTATGCCATCCTATTGCAGATTTGACATTTAGTCATTAAAAAAAACTATTTGTGAAGCAAAAAGCATTAAATGCCCAGCCACAGTACAAACATTGACCAATTTGGACTGAGCCTTTTAAATATTTATCTTATTTAAAGAAGCTTAACTTTTCTCACACTCAGAAATAGCATCTCAGTAATGCTGAGGGTAGGAAATGTAGAGAAGAGAGCATTCATTTGCTTTCTCTCCTCCTCAACCTGGCCACGTGGTCTCTCAAAACACATTTCACTTCTCTTGGTGGGTAAACATCCCGCTCTGGGGGGATCTGAGGGCTGAAGCATCTCACAAACCCCCGGACGCCCGGCTTTGGTGCGTTATGTCTTAAAAACACCAAGCCTGCACACGTCCCGTGGAGGACAAAAGCCTATTTTTTTGCTATGAATGTTGTGTTTGCAAAACTACCTGGCACTGGTGTAAGACAGGAGCAAAGCCCACGCTGACCTCGAGCCTGCCCCAGCCAGGAGGAACGCTGCCCTTAGGGCGCAAGGCACGAAGGGCAGGCGCCGGCTGGAGCGCCCAGGGGAACAAGGAGCTGCCGCTGGCTCCTCTCCGCACGGGACAGGGAATGGCTGGAGGGAAACGGGAGCCGAGGGGAAGAGCTGGGCCTTCCCAAGGCAGCCGACCAAAGGAACCTGCTCCCCCGAAGCAAAGGGAAACGAAGAACATCCTCATCATCTAGGCTGCTTGGCCCTGGGACCTCAACAGAATGTCACACTTACTTGCAATAATAAGGCATAAAAAGGATGCTTGACCTTCTCTATGTCACAGCAAGGGTAAAATTATTACTCCCTTTACTCTTGTTTTAGGTAAATTTAGTTCTGCGGCCATGCCTTTTACCCTGTTCTCAGAAACCTCTGTCTATTCTTTCTTTGTAAATTGACAGCAACCAAAGTTACCTTATGAAAAAGGTACTGTATGTTTCATTTTGAGGAAAACACTGTATTTATATCTTATTTTTATTCTAAATTTATGAGGAATGCTAGTCTAAGTTACATGTGAATGAGTCTGAAGTGCAATATATCTATATAGATAAGTGGTTCACTTTTGAGAATGTATCTATTGCAAAATTATTTATACAAGAAATTCACTATTCTACTTAACATAATAGTAACCTTACAGGAAATAGTGAATATTTAGGGCTTTTATTTATTAAAAATGAATCAAGTGCATGGCATATCGGGCCATACACATGGTGTGACTTTTTTTGTAATACAATATATATCCTGCAAACTAGCAGTGTCATCTTTGTCCTGATGATGTATTTTTGTAAATTATCATATTTAAATAATTTTTTGTGTGAGTATTTTATTTCGACCTAGATGAATTACTGCAACTTCATTTGACAAAGAAGCTGCAACCCTTTCCTTTATCATTTTAGAAATGACATGGTGCAATTTTCATGTACAGTTGACTGGTCATTTCATTTCTGATCACTTAGGGTGTTAAAAGCCTCTTCCAAAGCCCCTTCAAGTCAAAGGGAAGGTTGCTTGTGGGTTCTGTGGTTTGCTTTTCCAACCACCGTCAATTTAACAGGGCTTTGGAGCAAGCCGTATCTTGTTAACAAACATTTGAAGCCTTCTTAGGGACCAGTTTGGAAAATAAAGCCTTGACTCTTTAGTCYGCCATATGGGAGCTGCTGTTAATACTACTTGCCTTATTTTGGGTTTTGTGAAGCATCTTGCAATGACTGTTGCTACCTAGCCAGTGTCTTGCTTTTATTATTTGTACCTCCTGATTTTCCAATAGTTTAAAACCTTAACCAAGCACATGCAGTATCATTATTTAGGGAAGAATAACCTGGAGACAAAACCATCTTTGTTGCAGAGATGGGATTTTGTACTCTAATTTGTATTTCAAATATCTGCAATTAGAAGAAATAAGCTGTGAATGGACTGTCTTACAATTACTTATAGGTGTATGTCCTTGAAGACCACAGCTAGGAACAAAATACTTTTTAGATGAGTTGTTGGTATATAAAATCAAGACCTATCACCTATTTAAATTGTGAATATTGATATTTTCATAAGTAGACAATATATTGTGTTTGACAGACTTGTTTGTATTATAATAAATTATGAGATGATGCATAACTTATTACAGTGTTTGGAGCTATTGTGTTTGTTTTATTGATTTTTATGATATACTGCAAATAARACCTACCCTTGCAGCTGTTACTCAGTAAAACAAGACCTTGAAATACAGGTCTTCACTCATGTGTCCAAATAAATAATCTCAGAAATACAAGATGCATAAACGATTACTAGCCCAGTAATTCATTCTGAACCAAAGTCTCTGCTGCTGAAAATTAAATTTACCCTTTAAAGTCAATAATTCCTGTTCCAGGCATCGGTGCAAGGCTTGATCCATAGAGATCACTGAGATCTCTCTGCTATGGGTACACTGCCCTGCAGATGCCAACGTTGCCAACAAGCCACTAACACCATGTGGAATTTCCACCTCAAGCAAACAAAACACTGCCTGGAGAAGTAATAGTATACTAAGTAATGGTATATTAAAAAGAATATTTTAAAGAGTTAAAAGTAAGCAGAGAGAGAAATAAGATAAAGAACTGATCAGAAAAGATCTATGTCTTAGAGACTGAAGGCAAAGATAAAGAAGCTGCCTTTTAAACAAGTTTAAGCAGAGTTTGTATAACATATCMCATAGCAAAAGGTTCTTTGGTCAAGAAAAACAGGAATAAAGGTATAAAAATTGATGTGTGCTCTCTAGTGACGAGGTAGGAAGTTAAGAATGAACCAGAYGTTGGTACAACTGGTGGATCTCCTGTTGCAGGGAGACCTGCAGGTCATCGCAACACCCAACACAAAGGCAGAAAGGACAAGGGAACAGGGAGATGCTCAACCAAGCAACCCACTGCAGCAGCCAAGCAGCAGGGCCAGGAGCCACCCAGCCCYTTCCTAAGCACCCAAGGGTCCCACACAGGAGCCAGGCCGCCCCCAAACAGCCACTGCGCTCCGATACTTAAGGAAGGACAAAGCAAGAGCAATTATTCCAGGCCTGCTCATCAGACCTCAGCAGTACCAAAGACTTGGAACAAATTCTGAAGGATATCATTGAAGTGAGAAAAAGCAGAAGGGCAATGTCAAGATGAACAGCATCAGATTTGAGGGAGCTTGTTGGAGAGATGCTCCTTATGGAGGGAGCTCGGCATCACCTGGTCTCAGTACTGTCATTAACAACTACAGCATGAAAACTAACTGATGAAGTACACCCATGAGTTTAAAAAAAGACTTTGTACCACCAGGGGACTGGAGGAAAGCTCTTCCAAAATGGTTGGCCTTCAAGATTCTCATGACAAAAATGGTTGAATTCAGTACTAATACTGCAAGTTTCTCCACTTGGCTGCCCGTAACAATACACTGGCTATGAAATCTCGGCAGCTGGAAACAATGGGGAACTCAGTTGGGCCTGTTGGACCTCAGCAATGAGTCACCAACAGAGCCCAGCTGGGAAAAACCCCAGGCTTCATCACAAAAGCACTTCTGAAGTCCCAGCATAGCTTTAGCATTTGCATATTCCTGAATAAGCAGATATAMCAAGGGATAAATTGCACTAACAACTTGATAAAACAGAGCTGAAACAAGACAGTGATAATGACCTTAGTACAGAGAGACTTAGGCTGAAAGTTAGAAGACATTCTCTAGCTGCCACAGCAGGGAGCATCTACCAAKGCTTTTGTGTCATCCCAAACCTCCCCTGAGGTTTTAAATGGMGTTCCCTCCGTTTACAAACTGGTTTGAGATGAGGCTGCCAGCAGAACAGGATGGGGCTTCACCAGTGGTAGCCACAGCCCTGCATCCTCCTGGCACCTCCACAGCGGCTCTGAGGACAGCAGAGTGGCCTCCAAGTCCCAGCCACCCACTAGGGCTGCCGCCGAGCAGAGAACACCCACACCCAAGGCCTTGAAACTCACCGGCTGCTCGGCAGAGCGAGGCTTGCAGCCACCACAATTAATTGGGAGCAATCACGGGGACGGCACCAAGGGGGGCAGCACCGCTAAYGCGTTCCCTGCTGAAATCACACCGACTTCTGCGCTGGCTGCTCAGCTCTTTAAAGATCTCTTTCAACTCACCAAGTGAAGGAGAATAAAAAGCAGCCTCGCAGGGACTTGAGCTGTTAAATAATAATCCCACTGTTGCAGGCAGGCTGCCTTTGTGAGCCCTGCCGTTAGGGCAGCAGGCAATTAATCCCCCAAGCTGTTAGACACAACAAGGGGCTTGAAAGACTCCAGCCTTTGGTAATAAATAGGCACTGCAAATGAATTTACTATTAGCCTGCCACCATGGACCAGAAAAATGTAAACATTTACTTATAATTACAAAATTGTGTTGAAAATAATAAAAGCTCAAGCTTTCCTGCCTTACAGGCAAGCTAAAAGTCCCACTCCATGCATTTCACCTTCAACAGCTTCTTTTGCCTGCAGTTCATCTCCTCTATTTACCGTACAAGTATGATATGGAATATTACAGTGAGCAGACTAGCTTGCTGCAACGCTGCTGCACCGCCAGGCTGCAGCTGAGCAAGGCTCCGGTGCCGTGCAGAAGATCAATGCAACTGCCACGCACTCGCAGATCTGGCAGCCTGGCCAGGAACAGCAGGGAAGGGGTGTTCTTACTGTCCCCATTTTACATAATGAGAAGCGAGTCTCAGAGCTATTAATTCACCAAAGTCCCCAAGGGGCTGCACAGCCCCGACAGTGACAGCCCCAGCCTGATGCACCCAGCCTCTCTGCATAGGAGCCCTTGGATTAAGAGGGACTTTTCCCTGCTGCACTTAACCCAGACACAGCGACCTCAGCATGGCCAGACCTCCCGAGAGCAGCCACAGGATTAAGAGCATTCAGCCTTTAGGCCTAAACATCCCATCAACACAGGGTGAATATGGTGATACCTTCTCACTGGTCATGCTTATTTTTTTCCAGTGTAACTACTGCAGCTGCACCCTCCTCTCAGCTTTGTGTCCCACAGGTATGGGCACCCATCGCTGCTGCTGTACTTCTGGGACAGAGAAATAAAAGACAAAATCCAAGGCACTCTGTTCATGAGCAGATCCATCACAGC